ATACGCACAATAAATATTAATCAGATTTGTAGATTACATATTAATTACTCAAAACCTCTAACGTACCATATGTGCATCACAGCCGAAACATTTGTGACACTAGAAAATTAGTATTTATTCATATACACCATTTAGTTAGGTTTTGTGTATTATCAACTAAACCATGGTTAAGTTGGCAACTGTGCATGTCAAATATACTTGAAACTTGGTTTAATTATCATTTCCGTCTTTCATATCGTTGTGACTTCAAATTTATCATCTCAACTTTGCAGAATTTTGTGTGAATTCCTGTGCATACTCTGCAAATCTAGCAGTGCTTGGAGATCCTTTTGCCGGAAGAGCTGCTGCTGCTGCCAAGCTCGAGGCAAGAGGAGCAACTGAGGCCACGTCCATTTTGGGTGAACAAAGAACACATACCTTGTCATGAATCTTCATGTTTATCGGCCATATGGACATGAATTCTGAGAATTGAACTAACATTCATATCGTCACAGAAATTTGGTATACTAATTGGTTTTGGTAGATTTGCGAGACTTTTTAGCTGATATCAAGCATACATTTGCAATCATCATAAATGTAGTCGTCCATTTCTTCTATATGTTTTAGAAGAAAGAAAGGGATGAAAACAAGAACGTAGTCGTCTCACTCTCGCTGCTAACATCGAAGTGGGCCTCATGCTGGATTTCTTGCTTGCTTTGTTGTCTCCTGTTCCTGATCGCATCAATATATTCCTACTTTGATGTGACTGAGCAGATCCGTGGGGAATGCAGAAATGCATGATGATGAACATGGAGTGCACGAATCCTGAGGAGCTACGTGAGATGCGTGAGCCTGTTGCTAAAGCAGACGAAACATTGTATGATTGGCATCTCCGATACGAGTATTAGGCGCATATCACGAATCTTGACGCAACATGAAATCGTCGATGAAAGGCAATCCTACTATTATTCTTATTGTTGTAGATCATAGTTCAACTAATTTTTATGTGCACGAATTTTGACGCACACGTGCGGCCGTCCATCAACGTAGAACTCTCATCCAACACTCCTGCTACTATCATCTGCTGCTAGTATTTATGTGCACGAATATTGACGCACACGTGAAGTCGTCCATCAAAGTCATATATTATTATTATTATTATTATAGTAGATCATAGTTCAACAAAATGTGCACGAATTTTGACGCGCACGTGCGGTTGTCCATCAAACTAAACTCGCTGTCCGTGGGACAATGGAGTCGCCATCACGAATCACGTCTCGTTGTGCAGGAGAGCACGCATAGCTCTCGGGGATCACCTTCATCGATGATGGCTTGCAGGTCACTTCACGAGCTCAGTCGCAGAACCAGAAGATAAAAAGAGGACGACTCGTGGGATGCTGCAGCCCCATAGAGATGGATCAGCGGAGATAACATTTCCAGGTCACAGTTTTGTTGTCTTCCTCAGCACTCGCAGCCATTCTTTCTTGCTTCAGTTCTTTACCTGCAACTGTAAGAAACTAATACACACACAATTTCTGGGACCAAAACAAGGTCCATGGAAAGAGCGTGAAAGATGTGAAGTGTCTGCAAAGTTCAAACAAAACCCAGTCTTTTTCCTACACGAAAGAAAGAAAGGCCCACATCAAAATGATCTCATAGATTTCAACACGAGTATGAGGAGGATAGATATGGTCCTCCTGATCAATAATTGAGCAGACCTCATCCCCATATAAGATGCTAAGGAGAATATTCTATCTTCTGGTTGAATCGATCATAAAAGATCAATCGAACCACCATAATCGATGTCTGTTTCCTTGAAATATTTACTCCGTTTCATTATTATCTTAAGTCGGGAATTCTATTCATACCGTAAAATATTTTACGTAGATCAACATCAAATCGAGTATCCGAAACTCCCTCGATCACACCTAAAGATTGTTTAGTTCGAACCAAATCAAAAGGATCATTTCGGATTACACTATCCTAGTTTTAATCTCATGTATTCATGGAGGAGAATGGGCTTCAACGACTTAATTTCCCACGTACTAAACATGGAGACAAAGCTGTGTTGGAGAAGATAAGGTTAGGTAGTGTCATCAGACCACAGTACCTACTACAGCGCAAAAGTTGTTCAGTAGCTTACTTAGTGGCCATCCTTATCCGGTCGCTGCAGATTTCAGCTGAGATGTGCAAATGGCACCATACGAGTAACTATCATCTTAGTAGAATGGTTGTAGTTGTTTTCTGCAGCAGATGCGAATCAGATGGCCAAAACAGTTCATCGGTTTATCTCTGCAGGAGATTCCTCCATCGTTTCTGTGAGGAGGAAGTAACATTTGAATGTGTGTGTACACCGCACAGGACTATACATCAAACCAGCTTTGCTGTTCATTGATTCTGCTGCAGGAGATACTTTTAGTTTCTGTGAGCAGGAGGAGGATTCCCTGTGGCACTAAGCCTACAAAGAAGGCACCTTCAGACGAAACATAAATACGATGGGAATCAAAATCATGTTCAGCTATTTAAAGACCAGACTCACATTTCACGTCAAAGTGATGGACGTAATAATATTCATGACTCAGAAACACCACAGGATGACTGCTTCTTGGTCATCGTTATCATGCTTTCGTCTCTTCCGAGAGCTCTTTGTTTATTAGTGTGCTGTACGAGTTCTTTTATTAGCATGGCATGGGGTGGCAGTAAAAAACTGGAGCAGCCAATGTTTAGTGATCACATCATATCCTATTTGGCCTCGAAAGACTTGAATTAAAGTACAAAGATTATTTGGACTTGATGCCATTCCATCCACATTGCCCACTAAGCGACTACAAAAGCTTAGTCAATGATTGATCTTGTGGTGGGTTTATCCACTGAGGTCAATCTTTCTTGTCATTGTCCTACTGACCAATAATTGATATCATTCTTGTGTCTTTAGTTTAACTAACTTTGTATGATCTCCATCGGCGATGCTAGCAGAAGCTACATAAATCCAAGTCAACTGTTCATGGTTTTTGGATTTATTGAAATGTAATTAGATGGTTAATAAAGACCGGGTCATTTTTATTCCCCACTAAATCATGTGTGTATATATATATATTCTATGATATTGAGCATGTCTTCATTCCTCGAGTCTATGTTTATTGTTGTTGTTGTTTATCATGTGTAAAACGAAAGTCCATGTTTATTGTTGTTGTTGTTTATCATGTGTAAAACGAAGAAGAGCATCGGATACGAATGAGGTTAATTATAGATTATCCTATGTAATAGACATGGTATTTAAACTTAAAAAATTTATATTAAAATTTTTATAGTTATAAAAGTAAAATATCTAGATCTATTTACCATTAAATTTACTAACATTAATATAAAAATAATAGATAATTTTTTTTTTAATATTCTAGTTGACAGTGACCGACAGCATCGGTGACGATGGACGATGATGCCATTAGAGATCGTAAGTGATTGTTGTGAATGAGGAAAGCAACGAAGAGAGATGAAGGCCTCTTTACATCTGTATCTACACCAACACAAATACGGAGCGATCATTTCATCGCTTTACATCTGTGTCGACATCAACACAGTTGTCAAGCGACAAAAGGACCGTCAATACAAATGTCAAGCAACCGTTTCATTGCTCGGCATCTGTGTCGACGTCAACATAGATGCAAAGCGACGTCGCTCTATATTTGTATCGATGTGATGCAGAGCAACATCGCTCGATAACTATGTTGGTGCCAACACAAATGTAAAGCAGCCCTCATCTTTCGTCATCACTCTTCTTATTCACAATAATCACCTATGGTCCGTTGCTGCATGTAACACCGCATGCGAGCGCACGAGAGATATCACCCAGTAAAAAAATACCCAAGGTTGTTGACCACCAAATCTGTGATTCCTCGTTGACTACGTACTCGAGAAGCGGTGATTACCATCTTATATTTGCTTCCTAAGCCTTCCACTCTCGGCTCGTCTCTGTCGTCTTCACCATTTAAACGCCTCTAATTGAAGTCGAAGGCTAAGGAGTTACGAGAACATGACACGTGGTAAAAGAAAAGTCCTAAAGAAGGTGACACACGATTTGCATTGGATTAGTTGAATAGTAGTCATATGATTATTTACTCCAATTTATTGGATGAACTTTCAAGCATTTATTTACGTACAAGTAATGTCTCATACGTCACCATCGAATCAACATCTTAAATATACTGATCATATCATGATGCAGTCTTATTATACTATTATTTATTTCATCATGTATAAGATGTCGAGTGAAAAGTAAAAAGAGAATTTATATATGAAATCGAATGCTAAATCTGCATACAAATCTTCTTTTGGCCCAATCGATTTAATAAGACCTAACTCATCAAGTCTCGTGTTCTTTCTTTCGTCCAATGGACTTGTCGGAATCAATCCCATTTATCACACACGACTGTTTGCCAATCCAAGTCTACAAATACCCATCAATCAATCTCATGGGTTACAAAGAAAAATTCAAATGTCCACATTGGGATCACTCATTTATGATGAGCCATCCCTTCACCCTCATTTCTCCTGTGACTTTGCTTTGGTCTTTTGACTTTTGACGCACTCCAAACCCACATCTCCAATTCATACCCATATCGAGATGACTCGAGAGAGAGGAAATTCGAACCGAGTATGTATAGGATTTGACGTCTGTCGAGCATCGAATGATCAAGAAAGTCAGTGAGATGATGATAGACATTTGGGGG